GCCCCGGCGCACGCTGTGTGGCCACAAAGGTGCGGGCGGGCGGGACAAATAGTTGTCGTATTCGGCGTTTCGACATTGGGCGGAAGGGGGGGGGTCTGGCTCCGGACCTCTGCTTATATCGCGACTGCTTGCAGCTGCTCGTCCTATCGGGGAGACTCCGCCTGCTTGCAACAGGCGCCAAAAAGCAGCCAAGATCTACTCCAAGGGGGGGGGAGGGGGTGTGCGAGGGCCCGCGCCGATCGGCAAGACAATGAAAAAGAAAACGATCGTCGGGATGACACTGCTCGCGCCCCGATCGTTGGCCCTCATGCGCAAAAAAGCGGAGGGGAGCGGCCCGACACGCGCTCCAGGACGGCGACGAGCCCGCGCGTGCCTCTGCCCAGCCCTGCCCAACGCCATAGGGCAGAGGGGAGGGGGTTGCCGCAGCCTGGAGGGTCGCCTGGCTTAAGCAGCAAGCTTCACTCGGATGACCCCCGCTGGTTCTGGGGCTTTGGGGCCCGAGTGCACAGTGGGTGGGGCCTGCCTGGCCAGGAGTGGAAGGCAGTTCGCGTGGCAGGGGCAGGCGAATCCTCTCCCCCTTTTCCTCCGACAGGCTGCGAGCGGGGTATGGCTTGGAAAAGGGAGGATAAGAACAGAAATAATAAAAACCAATGGGCATGCAAATATTCAGAGAGGAAAAAAAGAAAAATAAGAAGAAGGTAGCCAGTGCGCACTCTGGTCAGGAATAAGCAGCTGGGCTTGACGCCTGAACTTTGTGCTCATCTGCCCGTCGGGTGTCCCTATCCAAAGCGGCGTGGCAAGCCATACCGCCCTCCCTGGAGTGGGAATTGCTCTCCCTGGGAAGGAAGCTCCTATGGCATAATAGGACCTATGCACCCTGCTCGGAAATCCAGACGTGAAACTGCGCTGGACGCCTGGGCATTTACCATGCTCGCCTGCCCTACATACGTTCCCTCCCCAGCCGCGTGGCGACCCCGGCTTCCCTCCCGAGGGGGGGGGCGTCGGAACGGAACGGTCGCGCGCCTCGGTGTCGCACCAGCCCGTCGGCTCCGAGACGCGCACTCCCATCGCCAGCCTGGCGGGGGGGGAGGCAACGGTGCGCACGGACGCCAAGCCCAGCCAGGCCCTTACCCAGAGGAAAGCAGACAGGCAGAGAAGCGAGAGCTCGCACAACCACCATGACTCCGAGCATGCTGCGATGCTCCCCCTCCTCGCTCGCCATCAGAAGACAGAGTATACAATGAGTAGGCAGAGCAGCCGTGCGCGTGCCTTCCTGCTACTCCGCCCCTCGCGCCAGGGATCGAGATGAGCCCCGTTCCCTCCCACCGGCCCGGTCGAGTCCTGGGCGCCGTGTGGCCTGGACGAGCTTGGCGCCGAGCTCGGGCGGACGGTCTTGGCGGCGGGCAGAAAAGGCCCAGGTGCCCAGGGGGGGGGGCGAGGGCCGGCTCCTCTGAGAAGGGCCCCCTCCCCAGCACCTGAGGATTCGGTCGGGCATGTCCCCCTGCAGGCGCCTCTTGGAAGAAAAACTGAAGCATAGTCAACAAATACTCAGGCATAGTCGAAAAATAGTCGACAAATCGTCCCCAGATTATTTGTTTGATTTCCTACCTAGGCTCTGCCTAGAAGGGTTCTTACTCTCTGGGCTGAAAGGGCCGGGCAGTGGAAAACGCCCCGGGCGGTTCCCCCGGCATCCGCCCCGCGGTTCCCCCAGTTACGTCCCCTCAGCTTAGCGTTGCTTATCTCATCTTAGCTTAACCTAGCTTAACTTAGCTTAACTTAGCTTAGCTTAGCTTAGCTTAGCTTCGCCTAGCCTAGCCTAGCCTAGCCTAGCTTAGCTTAGCTTAGCTTAGCTTAGCTTAGCCTAGCCTAGCCTAGCTTAGCTTAACTTAGCTTAGTTTAGCTTAACCCAGCTCAGCTTAGCTTAGCGCAGCATTCGCATAGCATAGCATAGCATAACATAGCATAGCTTAGCTTAGCACAGCGCAGCGCAGCACAGCATCACATAGCATACCATAGCGCAGCATAGCATATCATAGCACAGCATAGCATAGCGCAGCATAGCAACATCAAGCAACAGCAAACACAAAAGCAAAGCAAAAGCAACAACAACAGCAACAACAAAAGCAAAGGCACGGCAATGCACAGCAACAGCAACAACAATGCGAAAGTGTAGATGTAGATGTAGATGTAGGTGTAGATGTGGATGTAGGTGTAGATGTAGATGTAGATGTAGGTGTAGATGTAGGTGTAGATGTAGGTGTAAATGTGAGTCTCGCTGTTGATGTTGGTGTAGACGTAGATGCAGGTGTAGATGTTAATGCAGCTGTCGGTGTAGATGTAGATGTTGCTTTCCTAGATGCTCCAACTCCTAGGTAGGGTCGCACTGGGATAATTTTTTGGGGTGCACGATCATCTCGCCGAGGAGGAGCAGCGCGATGGCAATGCCACTGCCACTGCTGCTCAGCTCGCTAGAAGTCAAGCTCGATAGCTGCCGGCGTCAAAGCAGGATGAGGGAAGAGGAGGGAAAGGACGGGAGAGAGGGGGGATAGTTGTGGAGGGAAGGGGAAGGAGGGGGACCAGCACCCAAAATAATATGGATCCTGTCCACAGCAGCGCTGCCACCGTCGTGAGTCCAAGACTCGACGAAGGTGGCAGCGGGGTCCACAAGCACCTTGCCAGAGCCTTTGGCACGGCTGGGGTGCTGCAGAAGCTGAAAGCGCGTCCAATTGGACTTTGTGTGGCCACTGCGGAGAAGCTTTCCTCAAGCCAACCACTGGCTCGATGTCCTCTGCAATTGGCCCGCATTTGGAGCAAATGATGACAAGCCCAACTGTGCTCTCAGTTTGGAGGATACTGAACGGGGATGAAAGGGAGGGAGGAGGGAGGAGGGAGTAAGTGGGAGGAGAAGGATGAGGAGAGCAGCAAGTGGGACCAAGGCTGCAGATATCAAAGACGCTGTCGCGCATCTCGAGCTGCGGACACGCAGACCGCTCGCCCGGACCGCGATCCGCAGTATTTGACAGTCTGGCTCACTTCAGGCGTGCCTGGCAGCCGCTAACATCGGCACTGGTATATACACAAAAGAAGCTCGGGGAGGCTCCCAGACCGCCCTGCGGTCACAGGCGCCGTCGCGCGTCTCGGGCTGCGGGCACGCAAGCCGCTCGCCCAGACCGCAATCTGCAACCTTCGACTGAGTCAGCGCCCTGAAGGTTCCAAGACACACGAACATGCATCACGACGGCTGCAAAAGAAGCCCGAACAGATTCACGGAGGTGCCTGGTGCTGCCGAGTGTCAGCCACTTGCGCGCTGCTGGCCGCTCTAGAAGCCTGGGGAGCCCTCGGCTCGCTACATGGCCACGCAGGGAGCCTGAACCAACCCACAGTCAAAGACGCTGTCGCGCACCACGGGCTGCGGACAACTCCGCATGCAGGCCGCTCGCCCGGACCGCGATCCACATCTTTGGCAATCTGGCTCGCTTCAGACATGCCTTGCAGCCACTAAGATCGACACCTATGTACACAGAAAAAGAAAAACGAGGCACCCATCTACAAAATCGCCCACCTACAGTGGGCCCAACATCTCGGCTTGCGGGCACTGTCTGGCCGCCCCGCGGCGGAGTCGAGTCCCCGTCGACGGCAGAACGCTCGCAGACCGAGGAGGGGGTCATGCATTCGGTACTGCTGTGTGGTGCTGATCGAAGATGTAATCGGGTGCTGGCTGCAATCGGGTGCTGGCTGCAATCGGGTGGGCTGATCGAAGATGTAACTTTACGTCAGGTGCTGGCTGCAATCGGGTACGAAGCTCTGGGCCACTTGCGGTGCGAAAATATGCCACCCCATTCCACACTGCAAAGCCCCCGTAGCCATTCTTCTCGGCAACCTGCCGACACCAAGAGAGGTCGTTGGTGAAGAGCGTCAGTGCATTCTGCCCTTTGTCAGCGTCCATGTCCAGATGAAGAGTCCAGCCAGCCGGCAGCTCGCATCCATTATTAGCCATTGTAGTAGCAATAGCAATGCTTGCGGCAGTACCTCCGAGAATTGTTCCAGTTCCGCCAGCAAAAGTATCTCCGACCAGGATGCCTGCGGTGCTCGCACTTGCCTGGGCCATCGCCCTCTCGCTCCCGATCTGGTCGCCGCAAGCCTTGTGGATTGCAGCCTTCATGTGCCCGATACCAGGCGTCGCATCCACAGCGTCGTTCATGCTCGAAGCGAACTCCATCTGGGTTCTCAATGCTGCTTGGTGGTCGCCACTGCCTACCTCTACAAGAGACCGCACTTGCGACACTACAGGAGCGGTCCTGGAAAACTGCTCCTGTGTTTGCCGCGCGCCCTCCACATCTCCCTGGACAACTTGTGCTAACGAGATTACCTGCGAAAGAACAGGTGTGGACTGCGCACTCCCCATGTCTTGAACGGCGAAAACAATGCGCCCGGGACACTCGAGGGGAAGTCGCTTGAGCCAAAATAGCTTCGGATTGTTTATTTGTTTGATTTTTGTTGTATCTTTCTCGTGTAGAGGGACACTCCCGACTGAACCTTAGAAGGCGATGGGGCGTCTGCAGAAGACCGCGCCCCGCATCCTGGCCCCTCGTGTTCTCGCCGCCAAGGGCCGCCTGGGCGGAGGGAGCGGGGGGGAAGAGACAGCTCCTTGTCTTCTGGCGATCGCCTGGCTTCTCTGCGGGGAGGATGGGCCGTGCCCGCCGAGAACCGAACCTCGTCGCTTGGAGCAGTCCCGCGCATTCCCGCGCGCACCAGTAAATACTGCGTGCCCCCTTCAGACCTGCGCGAAATTCGACAAGGTCAGGGGATGCGGGGAGGCCGGCGTATCGCTGGACCCTGAAAAACCATCCTCCAAGAGCTTGTTTGTTCTCCAGACTCGGGCCAACTTTACTTGCATGGATGGGGGGGGGGCTGAACCCGAAGCAAGCCGCAAACGACTTGCACGTGCGCACATCACGCAAGTCGAAGGGCACTTGCACGCTAGCATTCGCTCGAAAAGA